CATAACCCCACATCTTTGATTATTTGACTTACTTTGGAATTTTCAGCCCTGTAAAATGAAAATTCGTTGCGAAAACTACAAGTGTGTCTTATATACGTATGTACCAATGAAATCAAAATTGGCTGTTTTCTCTTTTTCTAACAGCATCAGATCTTGACGAGTAAATAGATTTCTCGATTTCATTTGCACTCTTACTAGATTGTTGTGTAAATTCCTTCTCAAAATACTTAGAAAATATATAACAGCGGATTCATTCACCAAAAATTTGTGTTATTAGAAAAAGAAAAAATTTGAACAAGAAAATATCAAAATTTTCCTTCACTGGTACATGAGTATCCAAGATATATTTTTGCTTTTCTCGACTAATTTTCATTTTATAGGGCTAAAGCTTTCAAAGTTAGCTAACCAAATACATATCTATATTATAATTATAAGATCAAACGATCATGGTAGAGAGAAATAACCAAAACAAACATGTGCGCTGATTATTTTGGTCAGGAGAATATATCAAGAACGGAGTATGATCTATTGATGTTGTCAGAGATGGTCTCACTTAAAAGGAACATAAATCTTTATATATGTATTGAAGACGAGAAAAAAATGGTCTAGTATTGTTGTTAGAGATGGTATAACGTTAATTGTTGCAGTCCTTTATACACGTGCCTTCATATGTATATGAAGGACAAGAAAAAAGAGAGAAAAAAAAAGATTTTCATCAAGGACGAAGTACAGAATGGGTAAAAACTATTTTTCCAGAGGGTTAGCTCTATGATTTTTAATAGTGCTAATAACAACTTTTATACCAAAAGAAAGCGCGGCAAAAATGGAATATATCGATATTAAATTGTAAAGGTTCAGACAATTGTTTTACAACAAACATTACTAATCTATAGTAATTACCATAGTATAACTGTGATAACCTATCAATAAGGAGTTGTTAAATAGGAAAGATGTTTTTCTCACAAAGGCTAATAGAAGCAGGGTTGCTAGAATTATTCAGCCTGGTCCAGCCCGCAAGTGAATATTATTCTTGTTCGTTTTTTTAATATCTTCTTGTTTTAAATATCAATGACGCTATGTTGCTGAAATAAAAGAAAGACTGGAGCAGGTTTCACTTTCATCTTCTCTACACAAGGGTGTGAGTGTGTAGGAAGCGATGACGACGCGTTTCGACTATTGCTCAAGTAGTCTCATCAGGTGGCTTAATATCTTCAAAATCGATTGCAAGGTGAATAGTTTTATGGCTACTGTACTATATGGATTTGATGATTGTGTGTTATCGTACGGTCTCCATGAATCATAGAAATTAAAATGAGTGTTTAATAGATGATTTTTGTTGATGTTTCTCCACTTGGAGTAGATTTTGCTGATATGGTGCTCGCCACAGATCAGTGGAAGTATCATAATGTAGTGAACTGGTTTGATTTATATGGTTTCGGTAGTGGCATCCAAATCGTAAGACGATAAATGTAGTTTAATTTTTTTTATCCATCTAGAATGTAAATGCATACAATAAGCCGGTATTTCGGCATGCAGTGAAGCAGAAATACAGAAAGAAAAGTAGGAATGAATAAAGGAAAAACACTACACACTAAGTTTAAATGTGTCGTGATTTGCGACACGAGATGCGAACATAGCTTACTTTGACCATGCTCAAATCATATAATGAGACAATCGATTGCCTAATTTTAGTTCGAAAATAGATGGCATTTTCTGTACATGTTTATGGCACAGTTGACATGAGAATTTCAGTTGAGATTGGAATGCGCAAAAAAAATAATTAATCAAAAAAATATATTCTTCTTTTTTTCTGCTCGTGATAATAGATTATAGAACAGCAGAATAGAGAAGAAATATTTCTCAGATGAATTCAATGTCCCCATGTCCCCATAGTTAAAAAATAGACAGAGTTGAATTATTTAAAAACTCATTGTAAAAAGATACAAGAAATAACTCTCAATATAAAAATTTCTAAAGTCAGATCTCAACAAAAATTCTACTAGAAGAATTAAGAAAAAAACTATTCCAAACACAACTAAATTCCAAACTCGCCTGCCACATTTATATTATGGAGAGTCATTTATATGGTAGGGACTGAAAAGGTGTTCATAAATGAGGGAGTCAACATCAGCAAAATTCACTCGGTCGGACCCGAAGGTGTTCAGTAATGGAAGTTTTACTGTATATAAATATCTTTTATTGCATCACATTTCAATGCAATAGTGCAAAGGGAAAATAAGTATTTTAGTATGTGTCAGATTTGTCTCTAACAAAGATCGTCTTGAATTCCTCATTTTTCCATCGATCAGTCGAAACAAACCAAATATATTCAAAAGCATGTTTTATTGGTCCTTTTGAGCCCATCATTGGTAAGTTAAGCGCCTCATAAAAAACTTCACCAATACATTTAACATCATTTCCAAATGCACCCGTACCAATAGGTCCAAGTAGAAGGTACGTGTTTTTTCCATTACCAATTGTATTGGCAACAGCCGCTGCTATAAACGCACGAAATTTTGCTAAATTCTTTTTTTTCCACTACAATATAAATCAATATTTAAAAAAATACTTTACTAAAATAAAAGCCATTAGAATGTCATTTCAATATTTACGTCATCTTTATTTCTTGGATTTTTATAAAGTTCATGACCACTCATACAATAACAAGCAGATACTAACATATCAGCTTTTCGATATTCATCCGATGATAGCGATTTAAAAATTCGAATATCACGAACATAAGCTAATCCAAATTCAGGTATTGCATAGCCACCATTCATGCGTCCATATTTTAGATCAAGTAATGCACGATAAGCATCAGAATTATAAAGAAGAATTTCTTCTTGTGCTCCTATAAACAAAAATAAAAATAAATAATTGAAAAATAAAATTATCTAATAGAACTTACGTGCATGCCTTAAATATCCACCGCCTGGAGATTGTTCATTCTTTAAAATACAAATAAAAAATAACATTTTATGAAAAAACACAAAGACAAAATCGTTTACTGCAAAATTCAAAAGAATAATTTGAGCATTTTCTGGTACATCAAAAACTGTTTTTTCGATGCCATTTGTTATGTAAATTATTCTACCGCTATTATTTCGTTCACTAACAGGATATTCACGAAGATTTTCAATAGCATCATCATCTGATGGGTCATACGGAATTTTTCCGCTTGATTCGGGACAAAGATTTTCAATTTGTTTCACGTTCCAATACAGCTTAAGTTCTTTTGGATTAAAGCCATTTTCTCGAAATTTTTTAATATACTCACGAGATTGTAGTACACCAGCATATCGCTAAAATAAAAATTAAACGTAAGTAATTCCAATATAATGAAAGCAGTAACATGTAAAAGAAAACTTATAAATGAAGTAAATCTTGCATACATTCAATTTTTATTCATCTTTGTATGGTTCGATAAAAATTTTCTCAAAAAAGTTATTTATTATGACTGCCTGTTTTGAATTGATTTTTTTTTGAAGAATGGCTAACAAAAACATGAGATTTTCAATATTACTTTGCTGATTGTTTTTTTTTTGGGAAATAAAATAAAAATTATTCAAAAGTTTTCTTTTCGATCATGAATTTTAAAAATAACCCTATTACCAACTCACAGTTTTGACTTTTAATTCAAAATAAGGTTCAGCACTATTAGATCCGTAATAATGAGCCATTTCATCACAATTTTGGTCGGCAATTTTACTATATTTCTTTTCAAGTTCTATCCAATTTAATGATTGTTTATTTGTATTCACGAGCCATTGTCGAACATCTTGTGCGTGTTGAATCATGCTTTGATCAACTTCTGTGCTATTTGTTTGGATTATTTTCTCAATCTCTTTTAGTTTTTTATTTATTTCAAGTAAAAATATGAGAATCGTACGTTCACTGTAATCAAAACCAGGCCTACGAAACGTTGTTGCAACTGAAACTACAGAATTGATAACTCGTTGTGTAAGAGACTCGAAGGGTACAAAGACAGATGAACGATGTGACATATTATTATTATTACTATTATTATTTTCACTCATACTTTCACTATGAAGTCCAAAAAAAATTCAAAACAATAATCATCAAGAATTATTTTTCATTTCATTCTATTAATGACATGTCTTCCATTCGATGGAAACGTTAAAAAAGTGCCTATTGATTTACTCTCGTAATAGATGGCGTACACTTCTATGTGTTGAATTATGACACTTCAAGCATTCTATCAATTCAAAAGCCGCTGACCAAAAAGAATACTATTAAATTAAATACAAAAATAAAGCTATGAAATATTTATTCCAATGGTGATTTACCACAATAAGAAACATAGCCTATCTCCGTTAACGTCATGATAAAACGAAGCTGTATATTATCCGGTTGAACAAAAAAAATCAGATCATATAGTATTGAATCAAGTTTTTTTCCTTGAGCCTCACCTCCCCTCTCAACAGTCGATTTCAGCCTAGGAGCGTCCAAATTAGATGAAACTGTCAGGATATGCTGGGGTTGGAAGCAGAAGGCTAGCATACAATTTTTTAGTCCCAAATCTTTAAATTTCAGCGAGATATGAACCAAAAGATAATCAGAAATGATTCATGTGGCATCCCAAATTTCTCGGTCCTGGTTCGTTCAATATATTAATCTTTTGTTTTTGTTGGAAAGAACATCTCAAGACGCAGGGCACACGGACGTCCTTTTTTAAGCGCAAAAAAGGAATCAAAAGTTCAATGGCTGAAAAAGTGTCAAAAACTGGTAGCAAAATCACACAACTGGTTGCTTATTGGTGAAACAGTAGCCTAATTTAAAAAGGACTTCCGTGCGGCCTGCGCCTTGGGATGCTTTTTCAAATTAAAACAAATTTTAATACATTGAACGAACCGGGAAGGAGAAATTTGGAATGTCTTTTTGAGAAAGTGGAAACTGAGAAAAAACGAAAAACATTTTTTCGAAATGTTTTCAATATTTTATCATTTTTAGCAAATTTTAGCAATTTTTTTTGGTTATTTGAAGAAACTGACTAACATTATCTATATAATTTTCAATTTTGCAGAATTTGAACCTTTTATGGCGTGTTGAACATGATTAAAAAAAAAATTTTACTGGTACCGACAGTTTCGTTGTCGACTAACTGGAAAAAACTGTTAGTGCCATCCCTTCGGGATTAAAAATGTGAAACACAATGTACCCAGTATAAGTGGTGGCGTGGAAATTATTTACAGGATTGATTTTTTCTTTATGTTGTGGAATAGATTCATATGGAATAGTAGAATAAAAGTGTATATATTATGTGGCTTTAAATGATTCAATTGGTTGTGTGTTAATTGTATGGAGTAAAATAACTATATAATTAAGAGTATTATAGTTCATGGAAAGATTTTGATAGGAAAATTTTGATTTCTTTTTATATTAGGAAGTTTATTTTTCACAGTAACTATTAAAAGTAGAGAATATAAATAAGTTCGATCGGTTTTCGAATTATTATCTTTTTTTGTTTTTGCCACGAGTCATACATATTTTATTTTATTTGCAAAGTTAGATTGAATACTTTATTTGTAAAATAAATATAGTAAGTCACCACATATTTGAGCTAGAACTAATCTATCGATTTGATTGTGCTGTGCGTGATATGTCTGAGTATTGCAATGGTATTTCTTAGTAATATACGTGAAGAAACATTAATGGTATATCACATTTGGTAGTTTATAGTGTTTCAGACACTATAGTAAGTATATACACAAGAGTATCTTTTAGTATACGTGTTAAGGATGACAGAGACTGAAAATAAAATATGACTGTTATCTTGACATCGTGAATGAATTTCATGAGAAAGATAATAAGATTCGAAAATAAATATAATATGATGTTTATTTATTAAAATGATAGAAATTTATTGATGTCTTTTTTTTGTACTTTTGTTTGAAAAATTTATTTAATGCGATAGTATTTATATTCATAATTTTCGGATTAAAGTTAATCAAAATATTTATCGAAGATAAAGAAAGTAAAACATTTTCGTCTTCAATTAAATCGTTTTGACAAAGTTCATGATGATTGGATTCTTCTAATAAAGCTTCAATTTGAGATGTTTTGACAATAAATTCAAATGTCTTCTGATTAGTATCAATAACATTAAGCTTCATTTGTTTTTGTTCAACTGAATGTCATTATATATAATGATCTTGATTTGTATGCTATGCATTGTATGATTTTATCATTACATTCTATATTAGCTGAGTAACACTTTGAACAGATACAACGTTGTTCTATTAATCCAATTGAAGTTATCACAGCGACTATTGTTGATCTTGTACGATTTGAATAGAATTGCAGGCCACAACATCACGAATATCTTCGATAGATTCCAATCTAGTAATTATTATAGATTGATCAGCCCTATCAATGGAAATGCATCGAATGGGGAGAAAATCAGTTGTTTGTGTCAGAAGAGGATCGTAAAATTTCGAAGGGATGAGCGCAAAATTTGAGCGAAGGTCAGGAAGTCGCCACATAAGTGAAAAGGAGACACGGATCCGACGAAACAACGAGAAAAAGCACTCAAAGGCAAACCGAGAGAACACGAGAAGCACAGTGGCCGAACTATAGCTTTGGACTAAGTGACGAGGTTCTCAGTTCCCTAATTCATAAGCAACGTGTTTGAAAACTCTCATCAGTCTGAGCACACAGCTATTTCAGACGTGAGGATGGGAGATTATGTATCACCTAGCTACTAAAACCTGTAATTCAGAGATTTTGCGATGACAGCCTAAAAATTCAGTGGGGAGTTCATTCCGCCCCGCTCACTGGCTCCCTCACGAAGGACGCTATTCCATGCATCTTACAGACAGACACAGACGAATTACGGTTTCTAGAACCTATCTTTTCAGTCTAGAGAGTAAATGTTTCATGTTAGAAATAGACACTGAGATATGATATTTAGCGTTTTAGAAAGTTTTTACGCAAAGTAAACAAATGAAATCCGAAAAGCAACAATTGAAAAAACCTCATTTTGTATGTGTGGTTGTTGTTATTGATAGCTCATCATCGAATATTTTGACTTTTGCTAATTTAATTAAATAACATTGACCTTCTTTTTATTGAATCAAAATTATTTTCCCAGATATTCTTGTTGATAAAATCAGTTTTGTAAGATCACTATCGTAGTTCTTTTGAGTGTTTGAACTCGTTTCTGTGCATTATTAAAGACGACACTTCATCATCAAAAGAAGAAAATAAGTTGTAACAATGAACTACAGTAAGATGAAATTCTTACATAACCTATATCGATTATTTTACAGTTGAATGATATATACTCTTCATCTGACATGTATTGAATATTTTTAATCGTATTTATTTGTGTACACTATCACATTAGTTATATCAAAAACAGTCTATATTAGAGAGATTTACACATGAATAGTCATTAATCAACATTTTCATGACAATTACATGATGGAAACCATTTCTACAACGATACTGAGATAATGTCAACAACACAACCAATTTTAAATACTTCTTGAATTCATACAGATAGTTATGCATTGCATTCCATCAAAAACTTATCTCAGCAGGAAAAAATTCCTTCCTACGAAACTCCCTATTCCATTCCAGATTAAACTCCCTATCCGGAACTTTCTTCATGGTAATCTGCAGAAAACCTGGTTCATAAATTTGTTTTCGACTCAAATTTAAATCATTCAACCGAATAATCGAGCTACTGACTTAGAAATCAATTTCTAATCCATACCTTATTTCGACTCGTAATGAAATCAAATCCGTCTGGTGAGACCTTCAAGCAAGGTCGAAACACGCAACGGTTAGCTCAAAACACACCCGCATCCGAAAATTTTCAACCTGTATTCTGCCCATACCAGGACTTCTGGTACCCGTATCTGACCCGTACTCTAGTTCAACATGCAAATCCCCTATATTCTGTTATTCTCATTCTAAGACTAATTATTGGATAGCAAATAAACGATCAGTGTATATGATTACTAAGGAATGCAAGTGCCACCAATGATTCAGGGCTCAACAACTGTCTGCGAGCATTTAGTATTCGTCTTGTTTCGCTAAATATTTATTCGCTTGTTGTCGAACTAGCTGGGATCGACAAAAATGATAATACCAAACATGATGCTTGCTTGGACACAATTGAATACTCGCTCTCCACCACTTTGATACAGACGCGCATATCAACTCGAAAAAGGATTTATTGTATGAGAAAGAAACTTGGTAGGATCTCGAAAATCAATAGTGATATTTTGCTTTCGCAACATCAACAATCGATTTAAAAAATATGCGAAATTGAGTGTACGAGCAAATAGTGTCTACGACGCAAATGAATAATGACATTGAAATTGTCGGTTTTCTTAGTAACGAAATATTTTTAAAACAGAAAAGAAATCGAAAGAAAGGAATTTTCAATAGATATAACGATGAGTCATTTACATTACTTATTACCATTCAGAGGAAGCATATATTTGATCCATGAGGTGATTCATACATTTTTTTGAATCACTGCCAACTCAACAGGTATGTTAATATCGATGACAACCATATGTATGGGGGCGTATCTCCTTTATAGGTTTACCGCTAATAGAAAAATATCCCAAGTGCTGGTAGGAGTAAAAGTATTGCGAAATTACCCTTATATAATGTTACGTAATCGTCTGACGTAAATATATATATAATACCACAAGGGCGGAAGCAAAGACAAAAATCATTCTTTGAGATAACTTTTCTTTTTTTTCAATTAATTCAGCAGGTACCAGACAGTATTCTTTTGATGATTCACTTTTTTCAAAGCTTTACTTTTTTTCGTTCTCTTTCGGATATTTCCATATTAGGTGCGGAAAGCGAGCACATAAAAACTGACTTTTATTTTGACTACGATCATTCATTCTAATTTACAACCAGTTGGCCAGTTGATTTTATTTTCTTTCAGATTATTGAGAACAAAATAATGAAACCACGATTCAAATCTGCTATATTACGTCACACCGACTCAATAAAACGGTCGAATCTTAGTGAGATTACAGACAATATTCGTAGCCGTGTTATCACTACGAACAACGATAACGGTTATGGTTCAAATGAATATATTCATTTGAATTTTTACGATGATGACAATTATCTATCGATTATTAAATGCATCAATGGAGGTTATCGCATCACCGAGGATATGCTAAAATTCATGTTAGACTATAACGATTGCCTTCAAAAACATATTGAGAATCTTAAATCATGTTCGAAAAAATCGAAATCAAAAGTGAAAGCTCAATCAATGCTTTCATCATACCATACAACTAGAGCAGCTCAATTAAAAACTATTTGTGCATTTTCATTAGAAGCTGAATACTTACAAGCTCGTCATGATGCAATTCAAGAAGTTATCGACGAATGCCGTACTGAATTAAACAGAATCTATTCAAAGGAAAGTTCAAACTCGAGCCGTAAACATAATCGAACAGATTACATAATCGACTCCTTCGAAGCGGCACGTTCAGCTTTATTGAAATTATCAGAAAAACTCAGCAAATTGAAGGAAAAAAAAACGAAGGAAGACGCGGCGCTGTTAGAAGCAAAAATTCTATGTGAAAATCTTAGTTACACTCATGGAGTAAAGGAAAGTAAAACCGAAAAAGCAAGCAATAGTAGAAAAAAGCATGAACAAAAATTGGAGGAAATTGAAAAGGACATTGCACGATTTCAAGATGAATATGAGCAAGAAAAGAAAACTTATCGTGTTGAAGCAAGACGAATTTATGAAAAATGTCGAGTATTGGAAGAAGAACGATTAGAATTAATTGGAGACACCTTAATAAAATTCATCAAAATAGCTTATTCATCTGAAAATTCAATGCAACACCGTGCAATCTACAAAGAACTTAAATCCTACTTCAAAGATGAACGAGATACTACAGAAGATCTCAACTTTTGGGCACAAACTTATGGTGTTTACGATTCTACAATGCCTCTACCAACGAAAACCAATCAAAATGATGATGCTCACGACGACGACGACGACGACGACGAAGAAGAAGAAGAAGAACCATCAGCAGCAGATACTACTACAAGTAGCACAAAACCCAAATCCGAGAGAAAGCAAAAATAATTCCACAACTGGACAGTCCCACCAAACACTACGTCACTCACTCAAGCAATCATAAATTAGTAATAATTTAAATGAAAAACAAGATTTACTTTAAATGATAATTACTGTTATATTTTTCATTTATTTTAGAGTTTGTGTATTTTTTGTATAGTAACTGTTAACTTTTTTTTCTTTCTTGTGATCTGCTCAAAAGACTCAATGCTATTTCTTTTATTAAATCTATTCTCACAGGAAACATGTTCAATTTTTTTTAAATAATATAATAAAATCGAATTTTTCAGTACAAATGAAACTTCTTTTTATTGCACATTGTTGAAAATTTTGATATTCATGTCTAGAATGATTCATGTTTTGCTTCCTAGCCAGGCAATACTTTAACAAAATAAACAAGCATAATAAGTGTACTTTAATGCGAAGATATTATGACGTCATCTTAACACAATCATGCGTCATAAAAACAATATATTAGCATCACTACGAGCAAATTGTTAAGTTTTCGAATGGCTCAACATAATAATAGTAACAAATTGACATTAAACATATTTTTCAAAGGTTTTGATAAATCTGTAAAGAACAAATGGCCTAAAGGTTCTCATTCAAGATGAATACCTACGATAGACTATTCTAATCTATTAAAAGACAAACAAAACAAAAATATAAAGGTCTTGAATATAGTCCGTGGCTGTATGTTAAACGATGGCTCACACTCATACCCTCAAGTTTGAGTTTTATTTTAGAAACGTATTTAATCAACAATTATTCGTTTCTGGTAGAATTTGAAACAATTGAATTCGATGATTTGTTTGATCACAGATAAAAAGATTTCGTTTGCTATCAAATGCAACACTGCATGGAGAAAAACAGTTGATTTACGTTTCTACCGTTCATTTTTCACCAGCAATTGTGCTTCCAGTTGTGCAATTCGGCCCCCATTTTTAAATTCGATTATAAAATGTATCAGTAACATACAATGTTTCACATTCATCTACAAAAACACCACCTGGTCTTGATAAATATTCATCCGAAGGTTCATTTTCTGTATGTGCATCAACCATAATTCCAGTTTTACTTCTGTGCCGATATTGATGGCACGCTTCGATGATTCTCCTTCCTCTTCCTTCTGTTCTCTTTCCATTGTTATAATATATCTCTCTCCTATATATATACGTCTGTTATGTATGAAGTTGTTACACTCTGGATATGTGAAGAAGTGAATAAACATCATTGCCTAGGGTGGCTGTAAGCTACTCCACCTCTACCCAGTTTGTCATTAACATATCAAACCCAAACAGAGTCCTATATTTATTGTTACAGTCACATAATACTTTTTGCCCCTGTAAATCAGCAAAAGAAAATGATAATGATGATGGCTTATGTTCAGCAACTGTAATTTGTGATGGACATATGAAAATCAGAAGACGATTATGTGCGAATCCAAATATTGCGTTGTCTTTACCAGAACATTTTGTTTATTTATTTAAACCATTGATAGTTGAGTGCAGTCATACACCAAATCCAAAGGAAACATTATGTACACAATGTAAAAATAACAATTTAGCGAAAGAAGCGTCAACATCATGTTTCGCATCTGAAAAGAAAAAACAATCACAAAAACGAAGTCCCAGCCTTTGGCAAATAATTATGCCAATGATATGGCAGGAGTGAGTACAAAAAAGATTAACCTCTGAATTTAGAATCCACATAAAAAACAGTGCAGATAATGAGAAAATGTTTTGGAAAACATGATCATGTAGAATAATTCTTCATGAAAGAAAGGAATTTCCTATAATTATATGGTAAACAACAAAGTTGGAACCATTATTACTTCACACAATATGCTTTTTGTCTTCTTGGTTGAGCTTACCATAGAATAAAATTTAAGAATATTTATTCTTAACATATCTATTTTTAAATACATATTTTCTTAATTTATAACACATATACACATTCTTTCTAATGTTATGATACATGACTTTGTGTTTGAGTTGAAGAAAAATAGAGCATATGTAATATTAGAGCAAGTCATTTCTTTTTACTGTGATTTTATCTACAAAACGTTTTCCTTTGATTTTAAAATCGATTATTTAGTTTTGAAACATTTTTATTCATCTCCTATTTATTGAAAATAATTATATCCGATTTTAGCTGAGCTGTAATGTGCACATAGAGGATGTTATGACTGATGGATCGAAAAGAGCTTGTGGAATTCTCGTACTAGCAACAAACTGTCAAGTTATTATTGGTTTTGAAGAGATCTTACGATCTGAATCACGTAAACAAGTGATACAAGCGTTAACAAACTTATACACGATCACACCAATGTTAACAAGAATTGTGATTTGTGATGCTGGTTGTTTATTAGCAAAATCTGTTCGAGCAAATTTTGTTGATGAATCACGATCAAATGAATTTAATAATAATATTGGATTTAGAGCTTTAAAAGAAGTTCGATTCTTTGTGGATCGTTTTCATTTATCAAATCATAAAGATGTAAGCAATTGCTGATAGTTATATATTTAAAATTATTTTATAATTCATTTAGAAGTACTGTCATGCGCATTTGAATATCGATTTAGATGATGATTGAAAAATATTAATAGTAGTTCTTGTGAACAAATCAACTCGTGGATTAAATCATAATTCACACATGCTTTCAAATATGAGTGAATATCGATTTGCTGCTGTTTTATTGATATTATTACACTTACGTAATTGTTCCCATACCAACCCAGGTTAATCAAAACGGACTCGTTTACAGTCTGTTTATCGATGGTAAACGATGTCAAAACGGTATATTTACGGAAGTAAATAGGCCGTATTTGCTCGTAATACCTGGCGCAGTAATACGGCACCGTAAACGGGACTGAATTTTCATGGTTTACGGCTGTTTGTGCTCCGTACTCTCATGATAATACGGTCCGTATTACTGCGCCAAATATTACGGCAAACTTTCGCCCGTAAAATAGTCGTAAAGTAACCGTCAATGTCCGTATACGGACCGTACTGTTTGACCTGGGAGGTTATGCAACAGATGGGTTGATGCGAAACACGTATTGGTGATCAACCGATTTTTGTTTTTTTGTTTTCAACTTGGTATTTTTCAACTAGTAGATTGAGAGAAATAGTGGATCACGTGCAACACCACATTCATCATCGAATCAAGTGGTATATGACGAACAAATGAATATTATTTGAAGTAATGAGCATTGAAGACTCAAAGAAAGATCAGCTAATAAAAATGATACTCAACATACGGCAAAAAAACGTTTTCTAATCTAGAAAAATATTTTCATATATAAAAACTTCATGTTGTTATTTTTTTTATTGCTTCATAAAGAAAAACTTAAACTATAATGTTGAAGAATGTTGAAAGATGAATTCTTACAGTGATGCATTCCCTGGCGGAGGGTGAAAGAGAAAATAGAGACACATACAAAAGATGCGTCGCTGATCTGTTTGAATTATCACAGGATAGCTTGGCTTCATGATTAAGTTCATAATCCGACTTATCGATCTGCTATGAATCTTTTGAAGAGCATGACAACCTGATATCTCGTAAAAAAAATAGAAAAACACCGGAATACATGATACTGCGACGGCTGAACATCCCAAAAAAAAAGGAGATCAACCCTCAACATTCAATAAACGCTCTCGCTATAGCGACTGCCATAAATATAAGAGTTTTAACCTTCAAAGTACCGAAAATGGTAATATTACACACGAACATCCTGTAGCGAAATTGTTAAGCTTCTAGACCCCATCAAATCGTTTAATTTCTTCAAAGCATACGAAATTCTTGCACAATAACTTACGCGAAAAAGCATGCTTCATGCAATAACAATTTCATTAATAACATCATTAAAAGGGCACAATGCATTTTCACAAGTGAATCTTTTCTTTAGAGAAAAATAAGTCCATTTCAAAGCATTTAACTCAAAATTGATCCAATCGACCGGTCACAAAAACGTTGGTTTCCCTGAGATACTTCACGTGTTGTGATTTCACATCGCTCGTTGTCACTTATTTATTTGAGTTCCCAATTCCCGAAGAGTTCCCGACTCCTGGGAACTTAGCCATGTCTCTTTAACGTCTTACAACATGAAAGCGTCAAAGTATGCATTCGTTGCGACGCGTTTTTTAAGACGCTTGTCTGACCGGGTTCTCCCATATGTCTGAAAGCGATCTTCATAGCTCTTTCCCGTGCATAGTTTCGACGAATCTAAATAGAAAAAAGGAAATAGCTATTTATAAAATACTTTTTATATTTACATTATTTGTTGGATATTTAACCGAAGGTAGAAAACTATAAGATTTATAAAGACGTATGTGAAACGATATATTCACTTTGAATACATTGTATCAATGGTATGTATCAAAATGAGCGAAAGAAAAAAGAGCGAACGATAAAAGAGCGAAGGAAAATGAGCGAAGAAATATGAGCGAAGGAATATGAGCGAAAGAAAAAATGTCGAAAATAGAATGTTGAAGGAAAAAATGCCGAATGGAAAATACTGAATGGAAAAAATAGCGAAAGCAATTATAGCGAAATAAAAATTAGCGAAAAAATTTATTTTAATATTTTTAGACTGCTAAGATGAAGATTTTATATTGTCTGATAAAGGACCTCGCACGATAAGATCACGAATTTGGGGGGGGGGGGGGGGGGGGGGGGGGGGGGGGGGGGGGGGGGGGGGGGGGGGGGGGGGGGGGGGGGGGGGGGGGG